CCGGGGCCGGGGTTCACTGCCGCTTTCTCTCTCGCCCCGCAGGAAGACCCTGCCTTGATCCGCTGGGCCTACGCGAGGACGCAGAACGTGTACCCCACCTTCCGCCCCACGCCCAAGACGTCCTTCCTGGGGGCCGTGTTCGCAATCGGGCCCATCCTCTTCTGGATTTCTGTCTTTAAGGCTGACAGGGTGAGTTCGTTCGCGAAACGGGACCTCAGCGAAAGCTGGGCCGTGGCGTGGAGCTCTGCCTGGAGACGTAGTTAACAGGAGACCCTTGCTCCCAAGGGTGCTTAACCCCAGGAAAGCAATGAGGGGAGGAAGGCTAGTGCTGAGCTTTCTGCCTTGTGACTAGTTGCAGAGTCCAGCTGTGCTAAGGGTCCTGCCTTGTACCTATAGATATCGTGAGTCACAGTCTCCCTGAGATATTTGGTTGTAGCAAAGTTCTCCCTAGCACTGTGTAAATGGTTCATAGCATATTATTTTGAGCTGTTGACACGCAGTAGCTGGTTTTTCTAGTAAATAAGTAGACAGCTTATGAACAACAGGCTGGCAAGGTCTTTGTGACCATTCTCCAGCCTCATAAAGTAGATGAGGAGTACTAACCCTGATTACTCTTCCTGATCTCACTTGAATTTTTAAGCTTTTGGAAGGTTTATCCTGCTTTACCTCAAGCTCCTGAAATGTGTATGTCGTAGTCTAAGCGCCGGTAGATCGTTCCTAAAATGCTCAGCTATACACATAAGAAAATAATAGCTGACTGGCAGACAGTAGGTTTTTTTAATACTGAATTTGAGGCTGTTGTCAAACAGTTTTATTTCCCTCTTTTGCAAAAAGTAACTTTTTTTTCTTTTGTTAGATCAAATCACAGACCAGGAAGTACAAACTTCAGTTAAAGTTAAAATATTTGTAAGGAATGCTGTTTTCTCAGATAAATCAAAAATACAGGTTTTAGGAAACTTACAGAACACGTTGACATAAATGTCTTTGAAACTTAGCATCTCTACAGCATTTTGTCGTGCTGGTTCTGTGACACTTGGGTGGCTGGGTGGCTAAGCATATAAATTCTTGAAAATAAAGTTGAATGAATGAAAGTGAAATCTAAACATGCCTGGGAAAATTTAAGCTGAAATCTTTGATGCAGTTTACAGGACAATTCCTTTTCCTTATTCCAGTTCCTTTACTGATGTTCAGAGGGATTTCTTTGTTTGTTTTGCAATATTATATAAAGCAAGGTGGTTATTACATTCTTTTCTCTAAGAAGTGTCCTAGGGAAGCGCGAAATAAATTTAAATTGTTTAAACTTAAGTCCTTAAATAGGAATCGTTTTTTGGTTTTGCGCAGCAGAAGGAATCTTGGCAATATCTGCAAGTTTTAGGTACTATCGCTCTACCTATCAGTAGAAGGGCACGTGATTGCAGAATGAGATACAAACGGGGTGAATGCGAACAAAGGAGCATTTAGGCAAGTTATTTAAGATTTCATTGTGAAGAAACCTCTTAAGCTGTGGATTACTCACCCAGAAGGAGGAAGTAGAAACTGATTTTATAAATGAATTGGAAATAACTAGTTTGGTGAAAAATACGTCACAGGAGTTGGACCCTGCTGGCCTGTTAGAACGTGTAGATGTGCAAAGAGATCAATCTGAGCACTGCTTTCCTAGCTGATAGGTGAAGCTAAATGTCTTGTTTGTTTGTTTTGGTTTTGTCTTTTACTTTTTAACTACAATGGCTGTCAGAATCTGTACTTTTGTGATGCCATCTTCCTCTTTTCTATGCTGAAATCCTAGAGTTGCTTTTTTCTTATCCTAGGCTGATTTTAAATGTCGTCTTTAGTAGGGTAATGGTGAACTTTTTTTTTTCTCTCCACAGGATCGTAAAGAGAAGCTTATCAAAGAAGGTAAATACAAGCGGCCACTCAGTCTTTTTTAAGTTCCTGGAATCAGTGCTGGAATCGAGCAGTGCTGCTGTTGGGGCATAAATAAAATAAATAAGATGTATTGTACGCTGTCATTTCTCCTTCCTAAGAATAAATCTTAATTACCCCTTTGTTGTCTTATATCTTTAACAGTTACAGGAAGTGCAACAGTACAGAATATTCATATCTAATGCAGATATATAGTGGGTGTCTTGAACTCAGCAATTTATTCCTTTGGGTCTACACAGAGAAGCTCCTTTTAAACTGTGGAAGTTGCTGCTGACAAAGAACAGCTTGAACTGAAGTTTAAAATTCATAGCAGGCTAAAATGTTCAGTGAGCGCAAGGCTGATCTCTGAAGAACTGTGTTGCTTGAGTACTAGTTACTTCTTCCTGGTGTCAATTTGGCTATGTAGCTTGCCTGAATCAAATAATAGGGAACCGCTATGGTACATTTTGAGTAGCTGTTTAGGAGCCTGCCTGACTTCTTCCTCTAAGTTGAGTTAATTTTTCTTTTCCCTAATAAACAAATACAGGATTTAGGCTTGTATTTTATTGCAGTAAACTTCTGGATAAAATTACTGAACCAGCTTTGGAAATACTGAGCTGAATGTTGTCATATTATATCTGATTAATAGCACTTCCACTACTTCTCTGATTCCTGTGAGTGTAGAACAAAAAGTAAAAAGATAAGGCATTTTGTTCTGACGTGGATTCCTTTATGGTCTAGGAGAATTCCATTTTACCTTTGGAAATGGGGCACGATTAAAAGCCCACTATGTACAGCTGTGTACATGTGAACTTTGTACCTGCAAAGGTGTCTTCTCGACTAATTTTCTATAAGAACACAAGTCATTTCTATCCAGGATATCTGGTTGAGGAGGGTTCTGGAGTCATTGTTGTCAGAAGAGTGAAACTTTTGAGTGGGAGCGAAAGATTTTCATTCAGACTTGAATTTTCAGTTGGCCTCTAGGTGCCATCATGATCCCAACAACAAAACCTTTTCCTTGTTTGTCAGATGTGAGAAAGAAGAGGTTTCTCTCCAAGTGTTGAGGTCAATGTCAAGCCCTAGTGCTTTTTTGCAGAGGTTGAAAACTAGCCTGTGTGTGTTGTGAAAGCAACCTACTTTTCGGATAGTGAAGTAAGCAAAGCCAGCTCTGATAAGTTCGTTTCCTGCGTGATTAGGGTGTAAGGATGGGATGTTTGCAGTCTTCCTTGAAAGTGAATTGATAAACTTGTAGTTTTCCCTCTTCCTGTCTGAGTCTTGAAACTTTCAGGCAGTGGGGGGCTTGGCACTAATTCTGTGTACAGCAGCTGTTCAAGGTTGTGCCCTGCATTTCAAATTCCATATGTGTTCTCAGCAACCCTTTTGGGCCCGTCTGCAATTTGCTCTTCTGCTAGCTTAACTAAAACAAACCCAGATTATTCTCTTTGCAGAACTGCTTCTAAAAGACTGTCACAAATGATATTACAAGATATGGCTGTGGGTCAATGGAGAGAGAGAGAGGCAGCAATGCATGGAGAAAGTGGTATT